TATACCCGCTCTCCTGACGAAGATGTGAGTGCAATCTGTCAGTTGTGGCGGGATGTATGACGCTCGTTCCTGCTGGCGTGGAAGTGATATCATGATCTCTCTCTAACCAATGTCAGCTCACGATGAAATCCTGTAACCAATCAATCAAATCCCTACAAAACAATACTTGAGTGTCGCAGATTACTTTTATCGTGCCAAAAGAAATTGCATCGAGTTTTAAAGATGTTGTTCTAGAAGACATGGTCATTTTAGTTCGGCATCATCTCGTTGTAAGTTTGAGAGATGTTCGTAGTCGATGTCTGGGCATACAATGTTCTCAATGTGCATACGTGATAAAACGTCTGCTACTTCATTGTTTTTACCTTTACATGTCGCAGATCGTAGGTGAACTGGGATATAAACTCGAGATGTCATAGTTCGCGTGGAGAGCAGTTGTCCTGTTTCGCTGATAAGGCGTTCGTTAGAGCATTATGGTCTGTAAAGACAGTAAAAGATGTACCTTCCAGCATATGTCGAAAGTGCTTGATTGCTAAATAAACAGGTAATAACTCTCTACCAAAGGTGCTATATATATGTATATATATATATAAGAGTAGAACCAGAGATGAGGATCTAACTGAAAAGTAAATATTTCTTCTCTCAATCATTCTGCTTTGTAAATGTAGAAATCCTGTTGTTAATTGTTAATTATGCTACGAAATACTGAATAATTCACATAAATAGAGCATATTTTCGTAATTGGTGAAAAAGTGTTTTGGATATCCGGGCAATTGAGGTTTCATGATGCTAACAAGATTTCACTGTCAGAAAGGAAACTGAATTGATTAGTTTGGTGATATTACAGTGAAGAGATAATCCTTTATTTGAAAGTTACTGTGATTTAAACTGATTATCCAACTGCAATCATTTCTTAATTGAAAGTTTGTCACTTTTCTTCTTCAGATTTAATAATAATAATAGCTTTGGTTACAGGATTTCATCAAGAGCTGACATTGATAAGGGAACCATTGAAAAACCACCTGGGAGTACTGGACAGCTGTCTCCTCCGTCGTAGTCTGCGGCTCTTCATCAGTACGCATCTATCGCTAAGGTTCGAACTCAGTAAGGTACAGCAGGTCGGGCGTAAGGATAAATAGTCGCTGAAGACATTGCTAAGTGGTGGCGCTATGTTGTGAATTAGCAGAAGTTGGAATTCATTGATTGGCCATTGGATCGCGTCCGGGTGGCTTAATGGTCTACGAGCTCGCTAGCTTTGTAACCAGAAAGTCCTGGGTTGAAACTCTTGTGGTTGTGCATACTGATGAAGAGTCCCAAACTAGGACGGAGGAAACAGCTGTCCAGTACTCCCAGGTTTTCCACTGGTTCTCCAACCAATGTCAATTCATGATGAAATCCTGTAACATATATTTTGATATAGGCGGAAACTGAGAATGAAGCTCATTGTCAAGGAACTTAGCCCTAAGTTCCTATTCTAATGAAGACGTTTTCGTTTTGAACCGATAAATACTATGTATGTATCTCAACTTTAAATCCAAAACACCAGTATTCCTTGAACGAAATTATATTGTTTGGCAATTAAAGCGAGACAAAATACAAAGTCTACAAACAAATGTTAAGTACAAATGAAGTTATAAAGTACTTTTATTCGTGTTCTTTCCACCTTCTTCCAACTTGCACACGATCGTACTATTCGCGCCTTCGAGTTGCCCACCAATGGCTGCCAGTTCCAATAAACAAACGTTCAATGTTCACGTCCATTGACACTCATCTTCAACGAAAAGGTTTTGGAAGTGATTAAGGAGGTAAAAATAGAGATTCATTCACACAGATATCTAACTTATTTCGATGTTTATATAGGTAATGCTTTTACAGTACTCGTTGTTGAGTTAAATGTGAAGGCACGGAAGTAGATTTTCTGTAAACTCTGTAATACTCTTAATGTATTTTCTGTTGTATATGGAATAAACTGTAGTAAGGAAATGATATTTGAGGAGCATTTCATTCTGAACTTCATCTGATATACCAGTTTGAGTGCTTCTGCGGAAGTAATTACACTGGGCGTACAATTAAACTGATGTGTAATCGAATTTCTAAAAAAATATATATTGTATGGTAAAGCATGGGATAAACAAGATTCATTCGTGTCTCTGTTTTATCACACCTTGTATATAGTGAATATAGAGTTGATGTTAACAAAGCACTTAAAATTGCTTATTTCATTCCGGCTAATATTAATTTCGCTTTACCAGTTCGTCTCCTACATACATCTGCAGACACTGGAATCCACCTGAAGAAACCAGACTTGTGTATTCAAAAGTAATTCGTGCAACCACTTTCCTTACCCTGACCATCTACGTCACAATGATGTGAAGAGTCTTTTAAAAGTTATCATTATCTTAATGATTTCATTAGTGCGTCGGCAGCACAACGGTAGAATACTCACTGACCACGCATGCAGTCTGGGGTTCGATCCCCGGACAGTGCACTACTCTGCCTCGCGAAGCCACTAATAAGACTAATAAGGAGGGGAGGTTGGGCGTGAGGCTAGTAACCCCATCCCGTAAAAATAAATACCACTGCTACTGAAACTTGAAGCTTCTAGCGTGAAGCCCTATGTTCCACAGGGAAAGTAAGGGAATCAAAAAAATTGAATTAATTTCAACTGTTAGATTTTCGTCGCGAGTCAACATCTGCAGGTTCGTGGTTCGATCCCTAGAGATGGGCTCGTGGTTGTGCACTGTTTAGCAAATGTCTCAAAATAGATTGAGCACAGCTGTCCAGTACTCTTGGCCGGTTTTTAAATGATCTCTCTAACTGATGTTAGCTCATGACAAAAATCTAAGAGTTGAAACTCTATGATTTCTAAATTATCTCTTTATGTTTCCGAATTTGTCCATTATGCAATCCACTTGTTTAATTTTCATTATTATTTCTGCTCTTTAAATGTTTGTATTAATTCTCTTGGTTAGTTGTCACCTCCTTGACATGCTGACATTGACTAATCATTGTTAAAAAACTTATCACTACCAATAGATTGGTAAATTTTTGTTTTTTGTATTGCATTAAAAATGCTATGAGTATTAGTCTGGAGTAATAGATGAGGATCTAATGGGGAAGTATCTACTTCTTCGTCTAATCCTTTTGTTTTACAAATGTCTAAATGAGGTTTTTTTTCTATACTGAAGTCATGATTTCTCAAATAGTCTCTGAAGAAATGAACCCTTAACCAGTGTAGGTTGATGATTTATACATTTTAATGCGTCAGGGAATCTACTGAAGATTGAACGAGGAGTATGGTGACTATCAGAGATTTGTTGCTTGTATTTTTGACTAGAAAGTTAAATTTTTATGTAATGAGAAGACTGTTTTGTTTTTAGGTTTTTTAATTTACCAGACTACTTTAATTTAGTTTCTAACGTTTAACACATGACAACAATAATTAATAGTGCTGCGTTTCTTAACCCAACAGATACTTAGACACTAATCAGCCATTTGGAGCTTCAGTACCTTAATACTAAAATTTCAAATTATGACATTGAAGTGAAGATGGTTCAGTTTTTTCAAGAAAACTAGATTCTTTCGTGAGGTCTTAATCTATTCCTCAGTGATCGAAGCCAGCAGGCGTAATATACATGGTCTCCAAATGACTATATTTAATTTGTCTTCAATTTCTAACTACTATGTAACTGTAGAAAATATACTGATACAAATGGTTAATCAACTCTGTTGTGCGTTTTTCCTTCACGTTCCCTAGTGGAACATAGGGCTTCAAGCTAGTGGCTTGAAGTTTCTGTAGCAGTGTTTATTTTACAGGATGGGGTTGCTAGCCTCATGCCAAACCTTTCCTCTTCACCAGCATTATTTCTGGCAAAGCGGCGTAAAGGAGTGCGTCGGCAGGGGATCTAACCCCGGACCATGTGCATGGTCGGCGAGCATCCTAACCGCTATGCCACCGACGCACAATTCTGGGTGACTTTAATGCAGTGGCTTTATGGTATACGAGCTCGCCTTGTAACCAGAAGGTCCTGGGTTCGAACTCCGGTGGGTGCGTACTTATGAAGAGTCTCAAACAAGGACGAAAAAGCTGTCCAGTACTCCCAGGTTTTCCAGTGGTTCTCTAACCAATGTCAGCTCATGATGAAATCCTGTAACTAAAGCATAAGTTGTTGAACACTTTTTCGTGCGTCGGTGGCATAGTGGTTAGGATGCCCGCCGACCATGCACATGGTCCGGGGTTCGATCCCCCGCCACAGACGCACTCCTTTACCTCGCTAAGCCAGAAATAATTCTGGTGAAGAGGAAAGGTTGGGCATGAGGCTAGCAACCCCATCCTGTAAAATAAACACTGCTACAGAAACTTCAAGCCACTAGCTTGAAGCCCTATGTTCCACTGAGGAACGTGAAGGAAAAAAAATAATGCATAGCGACCCAAATGAACGGCCCAAATAAATAAACGCCATTACTTTGATCCCATGATCCCGTAGTGAAAGCGTGTAATTTAAAAAGCTCTTCTATGGACATCAAAGTTAGTGACAGAAAATAGTTATACGGGATATCTTTCTCTCATTTATCCCAAGGAAATCTCCTAATTTCTCACCGAAGTCTTCAGTGATTGTCGAAACATTGGTGAAGATATGACTCCTCCCTATCTACAAGCTTCCTATAAGCCATATAATCCTGACGGTACTTAAATAACGTAATACGTGTAGTGCGTGTATAGTTCCGCATCTTTACTATGACTTCATCTAACTGGTTGATCAAGGTCACCATAACGTCCGTTCACTTGGGTTGCTATAGCTTATAGTTACCTATTTATGGATAATAGTTCATTACAAACTTTAATCGATAGGCGATTGATTACATCACCAATCTAGAAAATGATTTACCTTCAGGATGCAATACAATAATGTTTCGACAACGCATAAAAACACTAATGACGCATAACCTTTAACTGAATAAACGACGCACTTGAAATAAACGATGAAAGAAAAATAATATTTATTGAGAAATTTATTTTCACATAAAGTGTTCAACTGTCTCAAAAGTTTTTATGAAATAATATTTCTTTTATTTTATTTTTTGTCAAGAATTTTATTTAATAAGTTCAATGAAAGTTTTGATAAATAAAGTATATACCACTACGAGTTCTGCTTCATTCAGTATTTGTTTTTGTGTTGTGTGTATTTGAGAGTGTGAGCGCATATAGCACGGGATGCAAAAATGCAGTCACTCGATTATTTACCCCATGGTAAATCAATATAGGCAGCACGTTTACGGAACAGTCGTCTATCAGTTGATAAATTTGGATAGTAATAATGTTTTCTGAACAATTCTTCTGATTCTCTTGTCGGTTCAGTAAAGAATACTTCAGCTCTAGGATTTTGTAGACCAGGGTATGTAATACTTTGTTCATTTGTATTTAATGCTGGTACAGCATTGATAACCAATGTTATCCAAGGTTGGGAGATGAAAAGAGTGATGAGGATAACGAAAGAGAATTTGCTAATTGCGAACATACTGACTGTGTAGTTTTATAAGTTGCACGAATCTGAAAAAGAAAGATAGAAGTTGACTATTACGAAGGAAAATGGTATTATGCCACATTAGATAAGTTTCCTCGATAAAATGCATGCACGCAGTGGTACACTATCCAATTGTTGTTACTTTCTTATTGTGTGGCTTATATCAAATAAACTTATCTAATACGGAATTATATTCTATCACAGTGTTCAAATTTTACGCCGGCATAGAATATTATAATAAGCATTAAACAGGAGAATACTACTGAGGCTTTAATAAAGTATACTATTAATATAGTGAATGGACCGACGTGAAGAACCTAGAAGACCTGGATTTCGCGCGTGGATGATTTATGTTTGATGTAACACAAAATCGAAGACTTACAAGCGAAAATCGACAAACTGGTCGAAGAAGCAGCCAGAGAAGACAGGACTCCAGGTGACCATAGACAAGACGGAGGTTATGAAAATAACCAACCAACAACAGCAGCAGCAGCAACATCCAGCGCCAATCACCATCAACGGAAGGGATTTGAAAGAAGTTACTTCATTCACTTATCTAGGGAGCATTGTCTCAACTACAGGAGGAACGGACGATGTCAAATCGAGAATCGGGAAGGCGAGAAACACATTCATCAACCTGAAACCAATCTCGAAATCTTCGTCACTCCTCAACATCAACAACAAAATTCGGATTTTCAATACAAACGTCAGGTCAGTCAGTTCTTCTATACGGATCAGAAACTTGGCGGGTCACCAAGATTACTTCCAACAGCCTGTTGCAGACCTTTATCAACAACTGTCTTTGTTCTATACTGAAGATCAGATGGCCGGAAAGAATCACCAACAAGGAGCTATGGAAACAAACAAAACAAGAATCAATCGCCCAACAAATATGCAGGAGGAAGTGGAGATGGATTGGACACTCACTGAGGAGGCCACTTGCTGGGTGACATCGCGCGTCAGGCCATCGCTCGAGTGGAACCCGAAATTGAAGCGGCGAGTGGGATGTTCAAGGGTGACATGGAGGAGATCGTGTGAACAGGAGCTGAACCAGTATGGAATAACATGGATGCAAGTGAAAAGTACAGCAGAAGACAGAAGCAAGTGGAGGCGTGTAGTTGAAGCCCTATGTTCCACTAAGAACACAAGGGAACAATAATAATAATAATTAATATAGTAAATCTTCTAGCATTATTGTTAACCAGGGACTCATGGCTTTATCGTGTAATAATTCTATAGCTCATTACTCAACCTCTACTTTTCCAGTTTGTTAACACTTCCATTTTACCTCTTGTTCTTTATTGCTCCCCCCGCCCACCTAGCCTTCCCTAGGCTACAAAAAAGGAACTGTGTTACACTGCAAAGGGTATTGAAGGTTGTTAGTAAGGAAAAGTAGTATGCCAATAAGTTACGTCGTTACTACTGCAGTCGATGTATCTTCCTTGACTACACATCCTCTTTCGACTCTGTAGCCGGATGACTTTTGTTAAATAAGCTCTCCTTGACGCAAACCGAGTCCGGGGTTGTCAGTTAGGTGGCATTCTCATTTCCCTGACTGAACGAAGGATAATGTATTTAAAGGTGAATCTTCCTCTGCCTTGCTTACTGCAGCTGGTTTTCCTAAAGGTGCTGTTCTTCTTATCCTCTTCTTTATTCTTACATGACTTGCTGCTTTCGAAAGAAATCAACATCGGTAAATACACTGCTGATCTGATTGTCTTCTTGGCAGTTACATCCTGATCTGAGTGTTTCAGAGTGGGCAGTCTTTCGTTGAACATAGACTGGTGGTCTGAGCTAAATGGTTTTAAATTGAATACCTCCGAATATCAGACATTTAACGTCACGTTCAGGCATAAAAGTGGTCCACGCTGACTTTTTCGTTCACAAGATGCCTGTAGCATTGAGGGCATTGGAATAGACACTAAATCTAGCATAAAATACCATGGAATAGTTCTATCCTCTCACCTTTTTTGGTGATCTCGTGTCTTGTCGATTTCTAGGAAAATGTTCCATCTAACCCCCTACATTGAGAAGTTAAAAAAAAATCAGGTATTAATCAAACTCTACTTCCACAGTTTGTTAACTCATGTACCTTACTTATTTGTCTTTACCGCTCCCCTTAGTCTCTCTTGGGCCTCTCACAAACGATTTATCATATTACGATGGGTATTAAAGGTTGTCAGTAGGGCAAGTGGCGTGCCATAAGGTCAGCTGCTAACTAATGTAGTCTACAGACACTTGAACTAACTCCATATTGTCTGGCCCTCAGCATTCTTCTTATTCACAACTCTCTCCCCTCCCAGTCTTGCATCTCATCAAGTAGGTCTAGAAGTCATTATTAAAAGATTGTATGCCCATGCAACTAAATATGGAAACTCATCGATACCCTATTTGGCCTGCTTTCTATGCGATAGAAAAAGTGTTAAGCGTGAAAATTGTAACTTGCTATGTAATTAGCAAGCTAAATGGCTCTTTGATCTTCTCGCATTTGTAATTTATGAGGAAATTATTTCAATTACCTTGCCTTTTAGTTATTAATGTTATTACTATTATTATCGTTTTATATTTTTTGTACATTTCTGAGTTTAGTATTATTGCTATTGCCTAAAAGTTTCTATTATTAATTTCAGTTATCTATAACTTGTTATGTTCTTTTTTTCTTGTTGAGTAAATTAGATTCAATATTTTTTTAAACATTTGTTTCGCTTGGTAAATTTCGTCTTCCATTCTTTATCGGAATTTACCAAAGGAACCGAATGTATGAAGTTTTTGAAAAGTTGCCTCCCTGCCAAACTATTAAGTCACTGAGCCAGGTGGTGTAGAATGTCTAAAGAGTCAACAAAGATCAGGTTCTATGAACAGTGTTTGAGAACAGGTTGTTTCCCGCGACAACTCTTAAAACAAGTCCTATCGGCTAAGCCCCCACTTTCTCAAAAGAATCTCCGTCGAATAACAAAATCTCACATCGAATCCTCATACTAGTACCTCCTCCTCGAAATGACAGTTGATGAGAACCTGTGGAATAGTATGATATTATTTTATACTGCAAATTTCGTCTTCCTTTCTTTATAGAGAATTCCACACTGTATCCTCAGTACTGTTAGGGAATAAAGCAAATTATTATTAATGTGTTCACTGAATTTATACGGTGTGTCATGATTTTGAGTACGAAGAACATCCACAGGACGTCTGAGACTTAGAAGGCTGGTCAGATTGCAGAAAGAAATGAGAAGATATGATATAGAAGTGCTAAGAATCTGTGAGAGTGGAAGCAATGGAAGCAAGCCTTCAAAAATGTTAACTGGAAGGTCAATAATCTATTCCAACAGTCAGTCAGACAACAAACGTGAGCACACTCATGATGAAGCTGTGATAAATGTCATTAACAGCCTCAAAGGTTTATCTCAGTCTCCTGCAGAATAATGACATCAAGATTCCACCTAAAAGGAAAGAAAGTTACAATTATCCAGTGCTACGAGCCTACAAACAACTCAGAACAAGTGAAGGAAGAAGGTTTCTGTACACAGTAATGCACAAGACTCCCTGATGGAGATCATGTGAAATGGGAATGATAGCTTTTGGGTAAGCCTGGTGCCAGATTAAAAAAAGATATCAGAAAATACAGTGAAATGGAGATATTTTGCTGAACTTCTATATTCCATTCAGAATTCATGAGCTGAATAATAATAATAACAAAAATCCTGAGCAAGTTACAATGCGCTTGGCTTCCATTTATTGTTATATGTAAATAGAGTAGTATAACGGTACCGCTTATATGTACTTTCAGATTACGTCGCTCATCGCACAAACCCTTGCTTGTTATGTGTTAATTTTCTCTATTCTGTGTCTGCCTGAACTGAATTATGGCAAAGCAGCTCAATGGAAATACATATTACAAAGAAGACTAGCTAATTTTTTTTACTTCACATTCCCCAGTGGAACATAGGGCTTCAAGCTAGTGGCTTGAAGTTTCTGTAGCAGTGTTTAAGTTTTACAGGATGGGGTTGCTAGCCTCATGCCCAACCTTTCCTCTTCACCAGTATTATTTCTGGCTTAGCGAGGTAGAGGAGTGCGTCGGCCGGGGATCAAACTCCGGACCATTTGCGTGGTCGGCGAGCGTCCTAACCGCCGTGCCACCGATGCCTGCTAATGATATCACTTAATTCAAATTAGATTTGATTTAATTTAATTCAATTTAGACTGATTGGACCGAAGCGCATGGTCACAGGTTGACACGTCGGCTCCTAGAGCAGATGCTTAGACGATGTCTGGTCATGTAACTTGAGACTGAGCACTTCCGTCCAATCAGTCGACGGGAAACTCTAAAATGAATTAAATAATAAATAAAATCCGTTGCACAAGAGGTGGCTGTCGTGTCCCAAGTGGTCTAGTGGATAACACTTTGGCGTTTGAAACGATGGGCACTGGGTTCGAGCCTCGGTAGGAACACCATCACTCACTGGGGAATGTGGGCCATCCAGGTTACGAGTCCCAAATAGGACGAAATTCGCATGCACTAATTGACTTCAAGATTAGAGAATGATTTATTTTACAACTAAAGTCTAGATATGTTAGAAATTATTTAAAATATCTGCGTATCTTCAATGAATTAAAAAACAAAAACAGTTTCTTTTATACATATATACATAGTGTACTCTTTAGAGACAACTCTAAAACTTGTTCATACCTATAGAGTAATAACAAAAATTAACATGACAGAATGAAAAAGAAATCTCCGTAGCAAAATGGCGAAAAAAGGTGGAGGAGAAATGAAGTTAGTCGTAGACAATGAAATAAGTTAAATGCCTATCGAAATAATTCTATCATTCTTCAGCAATAAAAGTTATCCATCCTTATTATAATCAATCTCTCAAGTTTACTTTCCTTTTTATAGCATTCTAAACAGACTAAATACAGTTTCTAGTCTTCGTGTATTGCCAATTAAAGTGTCTCTATGTCTATGAGTGTTTTTCAAATAAAGTAGGTGGCGGGGTAGCAAACAATTGTATTCATTCTAAACATCAAA